TTACAACTGATTTGTGCAAAGGCTCTTGGATCTAATTGAAAACAATATTGTTCGTTTATCTGTGTTTTTCTGATTTTTTACTATGGGAACCTTTAATATTTTGAAAGTTTAATTGTTTAAAAATCCCCATCATATTAATTGATGAATATATTCTTTTCATTATATACTCATCAGGTTCTACAACTAAATATTCTAATTAATAATCTAACAACCGGCCAGGTTTAAGGCCGAATTCGTTGTTTCACATTAGAGAACGTGAAGTTGTGATTGTTTGTGAAATAAAATTATCAGTGTTAAGATGACTTGTATGCAACTGTTAACTTGAACAAGTTTATATATTGTATGAAATTGTGATATCAATGATCAAAGAATAAACATGGGTCAGACAGAGCGAGTGAAATAATAAAGCAGCTGCCGAATTCAATCAGATATTCAATTGATAATGTTGCATTAGTTCAATATGAAGTTTCAGTGTAAGGTGAGTGTTTAGTAAACTGATCACATGTTCGATTGATGAATAGTTATGTTAAACAATAATAGTACTAAATAAATGTAAGTCACTAGTCGACTTAAAATACCTAGTTATCCTTCTAAACACGTTTTATAAAAAGACATATGATAACAAGTAATAAAATGAATAAACTTTATTCACATCACATAATGTATAAAAAACAATCCTTAATAAGCACAGAAAATGCGTACTTTCTCAAGTTACTTTTTCTAGTTTTTAACTTCTCTCATGAATTAAGGTGGTATAATTTTATTTGCTTGGTAATAAATACAATTTTAGTTAATATATATATATATATATATATATATATATATATATATATATATATATATATATATATATATATATATGAAAAGTTTTTAAAGTATTTAAGATTCCCATTTTGAAAATCAGAACAACTTATGTAAGCCAACAACATTGTTTTCCATTACATCATCATCATCATCAGGCTTTACTCTAATATGCATGAATATTTCTATGGAAATGTTAAGTTAATCATTTCAATTTGAGTCAATCATCACAATGAAATAGATTACGTCACCACACGTATTAGGTAAAAGTACATAATGATGGTAGGAAGACAGGTAAGAATAATAACAATACAATAACAGACGTTTTTATCCATAGTTCAACATTGGAGATAGTAGGTTAGACGTGGATGAATGTACTCATCACAAAACATTGTGACCTCTACGTAATAATGTTTTGTGATAATTATTTTAAGTTTATTTATCCACGTTTGTCCTACTAAACACTGTTTACTGACATTTGGACAGTGAAAATAGAGCACATTGATTTCCTTGATGTATATGAAATGAATATTGAGGTATATATCTTCACAACTAAAATGAAGACTATTTCATAGAGTTAGATGTAACATTTTATCAACAATAAAGACAAATTACTGAAGTTCTGGTTGGTGAAAATCATGATCAATCTATCAGATCACATTGCTAATCCCCTTTGTTGAAAATTGTATATTAATTTGAAAAAATGTCAGTTTTCGAAAATGACACTGAAGTAGTATATGGCTAACAATGAGAATAAATAGAGTATAATGGTACATGAGGGATATGTGTATAATAGGAAAATGTATACTTAGTAACAAAATATGCTATGGGTATCGTATGGGCGTAGATATAAATGAAAATTGTAGAATCTAAGCAAATTGATAAACTTATTGAAAAAAATATTAACATGCGTTTATGGGATGACTTGTCTGGGCAATGAAATAACGCGTCCATATGAGCAATTTTTTAAAGAGCGTGGAAATAACCATCGACCAACCGCTTATCGTTTGTTTGTATGGCAACGGAATAAATAGGGCGAAATATAACAAAAATTGATCTGCAAAGCTGATAAAATACGCAAATAAAAAAATAGATAAGTATGAACATATTTTAACAAGCCACAATAGAGTTAAACATCAGTTAGTGATTTTACATTTACATAACATTGAGTTTTTGTATGTAGGATATGATCAGCCGAACCTTAAAATGGTAATCGTACTGGGGATAATAACCATGGTAGTGGTGTTTCGTTCGTTCTCTGAGCTGAATGTTTTGGTTGTGAAGCTTCAAAATCATCCACCTAAGCTACAAATTTTCTCCATCATCTCGTAATAACCATCGTTGTGCTGCGGTTGGTAATAATTATGAACTACAAAGTCGGTATACACAGCTGTTGGCCCAATTCATCGAGTTGCCTATGAATATAACCAGAGGTACTGAATTGTGGTTGTGGAGACGAAATACGTGGAGTCGTATTCCTTTTTGGTTATGAAGCCCAACATCTGAGAGCGCATAAAAACAACAAGATTAATCATGCCATGACTATATGGCCTGCCTATAATACACAAAACGGGCCGATCTCTTAAACCAATTCCTGATATGTTCGGATCCGATTACTAATCTATAGCAAAATGACTGGCACATCTCCTGCAACCTTTGAGAGAACGTAGTTGCAGACATTCTTTAAATGACTTTTGAATTTGTTGACCGCATAAAAGAAGTTAATGTTTATGATAAACTTATTCTGTCACTTGATGTCTATTCACTATTCACTAATGTCCGATTCATAGAGACCATCAGTTTAATCTGCTAATACATGAATGATCATGAGATTAATAACGGACTACCAAAATCTTATTTAACGAGATAACTATTAAGATGTTCTTCAAACATACAGTTTACATTTATTGATGTAATTTATGGACGAAAGAATTGCGTAGCAATAGGAATCCTATGTTAGTCCACTACTAGTAGATTGTTTCACGGTTAGTCTCGAAAACAGTTAACTTAAAACTACCGTTGACAACTTCCATTTTTATAAAAGGTAAACGGACGTTATCCTTATTGTGGTGGTGTTTCGTTCTCTGAGCTGGTTGTTTTGGTTGTGGAGCTTTCATTGTTCTTCTGAACGGACGGTATCTTTATTGTTTTTGACAAGAAATTTGATTTGCCGTATCTTTTAAATGTGCCTAATAACTTTAAAACTGCAATAAATTTTACATTCAAAGTCTAAAACGAGCCAAATACTCATTTTCTCGATGTCATAATGACAAGAAAACACAATGCAACTCTATGATCTATTTACCAGAAACCCTTATAGGATGGCCAGCTATCAAACTTTCAAAGTTGAGTTCCCGTGAATCGAAAGTGAAACTTAATTATATCACTTGCAACAGGAATACGGAGATTTTGCAGCCCTGGAGTCATAGATAATGAACTGAACCTCTTCAACGAAACACTTATCCAAAACGAGTATCCACCGAGTTTTATTGATAAAAATATAAAACTTAATCCTTCTATAACATTTATATCTTCCATAGAAAATCAAATTATCCATGTGCATACTGACATACTGAAGAGACGAATTTCAGACTATCAACTAAACGTTTTTCTCAGCAACTTATCGGCTAGTTTTACTCGAGCCGACCAATGTACAACAATAATCTATGGGATAAATTTTCATCTTTTACAAATTTCATGTGTGCTTATCAATTACCCTATTCATGTTTAGCAAGGTAAATTAACTGATTGATGCGACTGTGTATTTAAAAAATTTGATAATACTATCCAGTTGGCTTCCGTCTTCTGACCATTTCAGAAGCTTTTGTCAGACATCTAGAAAAACCAGAATTATGTGTACAGAAAAAACTTCAATCTTCTTATAACATAGCCTTTATTGTTCGTAAAAATAAAACAAATGTTTTTTCTCTCACAAATGTCTGCTCTCCTTCTCTATAGACCTTTTAACCTCAACTGAATTGTTTCTGTTTCTATGAATCTCATGATTTCAAAACAATTTAATTTGAACGGTTTATCCGATTACACTGAGTCCTCCCGATTGTAATTCTTTTTACCAATCTTTATGATGAATACTTTAGGCCCTAACAACAACATTGCTGTCAAGTCCTTTAATCAAAATAACGTTTTATGTCTTTACCTGATTTGCTTCACTATTACCATGTCTAATAAATTCTTATTATCACCACTGTTATAATGAAAACTGTTGTAGTGAACGAGAACACAGGTTGGGCAACCGGATTATATTTAACGATGATTACAGAGTTACTCAGTAAAATAGGAAAACCATATCGTAAATAGTTAATTTGCAAAATATCAGTCCATCATATCGAACTGGACTGTTCCTGTTGCAAAACCTCAATCCATTGTCACTATTCATGCGTTTCATACAAATTCAACTGTGTTCTAGCTCTTCCTTTCTTGATCTTCCCCCTTCTTCTGCTGCCAGACATTACGTTTACACTCACGTCATATACTACTTATAAGTGGCTCGCACCACACCATGAGAAGTATGTATACGATTTTACAACTTTGGAAAGGAATTTGTCGGAAGAAAAAGCCTTTTAGCAATGTGTGTCTGCCACTCTTGGAAAAAAGCACTTGATCACCAAATCAAAAAAATGCAAGTTATGAACCAAAAGTACTTGATAGCTAATAAATCCATAGTTGGTATTTGTGTCGAATTATGAGATGATTTTTTGCAATTCTCAATAATCTTTACTAGCAAGAGGTATGAATTACTTGACACTACTGAGAAATATACTTAGCGCTACTGCCATCAATTCAGCTGAAAAATTAATAGTACAAATTTTTATTTCCAATATGTAAAAAAAATGATGGTAATTCTTACTGACATTTTAGCATTTAACGCTGTTAGCTTTACGAAACCGTTTAACCGAGAAATTTACTACATAGTTTTTGACATACTTCACTAATTAGTATTGGAGTCCAATTGAAAAGTTAACTAATCATTGTAGTTTATTAAGTCAACAACAAATTTGTATAAATGTAATCTAACTCAACATTTATTCCTGACTTAGCGCAGCGAAAACAATTATTGTAATGAAATAGCTATTTGTAGATAATTGAAATGACAATAGTAACCAACCAAAAGTAGCCAATAACATATATATTTTCATTAGAATTCAATTAAATTGTAAAATAAAGTCATACATTTCTTGTTATTTTGAGGTGTTCGTAGTAGGTGATTTACTAAGATATTTTCTTTCTTTAAATGATTTTTGATTAGTTTCAGAAATTTGACAACATTTTTGACATAGACGACAATAAATGAACCTAAGTGTTTCTCGAAAATCTCTATTAAGAAATAAATACAGAAAAAATGTTGATGCAAATGCAAATTGAGCTAAATTAATTGTTATCATTCTATATAAATGATAAGTTGCACATGTTTGTATTTGATCAATGGAACATACACCAAGTGTAGTGAACACTCGAACATAAGCTAATGCTTGTGGTACTTGACCAATTAAAAATAATAAAATTACAGCGATTAACAAGATGGTTAATTTTGTTTGGGCATTTTGTCGACGTTGTCTTGTACGATCTTTTAATGTGGGTCGTTTGGTTTTATTATTATTAGTGGTAGTATTATCGTGAAAATGATTTCTGGAAGTTAGCTGTACATCAGTTTTGTCAATTAGTTTTTCCGGAACAATAATTTCATTTTCTTGAATTGACTGTAAATTAGATTCAACAATTAATTTTTGTTCACCGAAATAATTGATAGCATCTGTACAACTATCTTGTGATGCTTCATCAATTTGAATTTGTTGTTCATGTGTTTTTGATAGATTAAATGTTTTTATAGATAATTTTTTCTTTTGACTAGATATATTGTTGTTCTGTTTAGTAGTTGTAAATCGACGATTATGTTGTGATACAAGTATAAACAATAGACAATTTGAAACACATAAGAAACATAATGGAATAATTTGAACAAATACAATACGTAACCATGAATAAAATGCATAGTAAGTTGAACGTGAAAAATCAGTTAAATCACTGTGCAGTTGTAATACACCATCAACATATTTCAATGATACTCGTTGAATGGCAAAATATGGAATATTAAAAATAAATGCTATTATGCATATCGATGTGATGAGTTGACGAGTGCTTTTCCGTGTAAAATATCGTTTTGATAAAGACCAATGCTTCATACTCACATAACGTTCAATGGCAAGTACTACAGTTAACCATGCACTGATATTTTCTGTCATATTTGATACTGGCGTTTCAACATATATACTATACATATAAATGTAGATTGCTGCATCTGTTGCGTGATGGTTCAAATGTGGAAGGCTGAAATGACACAAAACACATGAAAGTAATGTGTTTTTTTCTTCAAATTTACGGTTATTTTACGAGAAAATTGAACATTTAATTATTTGTTCGAAAATGTACACTCTCCATGTAGATAATTCAAAAAGAAAATTACTGGTTGAGATATACTAAACATTCTAAAAAACATCTTTTTATATTTTAGCTTTGAAAACAAAATCATAAGGTGACTTTAATGATTAAGTTCTCTTAATTAATAATGAACTAGTATGACACTCATTTAGGCTTCGACTACAACTATGAACTAACAGATTATTCAAACGTGCTAATCCTTGGAGTAGTTATTTTAATTTCAGTAAGAGTGATTATTCTATTTTTATATGGAAGTTTGCATATATGCTACAGAATAAACTCTAAAAAACAATAGACCGGAATATTTATTATTTGACAGTGTGAGAGTTAATAAGATTGGGTTACTCACATTATTATTACAATTCATTCTGCCATGAGAATAACCGACTAGCAATGCGAATTATTTTGAAGTTTCACAGCAAAATATTCAATTTTGCACAGCTGTTAGTTTTTCTGATTGTTATCTACTAGAGACATTTAAAATCTTTGAGTTTAAACAAACTCAAGTGGTCTGCTTGAAAACCACAAGTATAAGACAGTAACTTTCTTTAAGCAATGGTCTAAATGACTATCCACTAAAATTACACTATATAGATATTTTGTAGTGTTGCTTTTTATACGATAGCATATATCAAGCTGATAATAATAAAATATTTTAAGGTGAGTACTGTTACACTTTGTCCAAAAGATATCTTTACATTAAAATCAATGAATATTTTGCAAAGTTCACATCAAATATTATCCTTAAGTATTTCATAAGAAATATGGATTAATTTATGATCAACAAATGACGTTTGCTACTTAAACCGATAATTTTTTCGTTCGACAATCTGTTATATGATGAGATCCCTTAAGAAATTTAAACAAAGGAAGAACGAAAAGCTTTGTAGAATATGATGAACCTATTCTATTCCCCAGGTTTCTCATCAGCTTTATATAGCCTGAAATCACAATTATTAATGTAAATGTAAACAAAGGTTTAACCTGGTAAAGTTTAGATAAATGTTTTGAAATATAACTTAAATGCTAATCAAAAGAAGAATAGGAAACAAAGTATATGAATAAAGGTAGTTAAGATTAACATGTATTTATATGTTAAAAAATAACAATGCAGGATGGAATAACTGTTAAGGTTACGTAAAAGTAATGAGATTAATAAATGGTTATGTAATCATTCAACATGATATGAAATTATACCAAATGTTTATGTGAACATCAATCCAATTACGTAAGAGATAAATAATGGAAGAGAAAAAACTAGGAGGGTTGGAACGAAATTAATATAGGTTATTTTAATATACACCCTGTCACAATGGCAGAGATATACTAATTACACTTTGTTTCTACATACATAGATTCGGTCGGAGACGTTTGTTAGCGACTGCCTTTGTGAAATGAAATTAGTGTTAGTTGCCTGTCGACTATTTTGAATTCATTACTTTCATTTGCTTCACGCTTATTATACAAAAGCTGCTGAAGATCTCATTTGTGAAGACTTTCCTTTCCTTTAGATATATATTCCCAAAAGCCTGTTCAGAAAACGTAGTAGAAACTCTTCTCTCAGTCCTTCCAGTCTTCTTGCGCCTACACATATGTGTAAATCCATAGATAGGATTGGTGAAAATACGGGGATATTGACCTTCATTTGAAAGGTTTAAAGAACATTAGGTGTTGTATAATGAAACCAGCTGAGCAGGAGGGAAGAGCTTTATCAGTTCTGCCTTGATTCTACTATTAAGTCTATCTGAAATCCCATCTTCGTTGAATGGAACATGGATGAAATCAAATTTTCTGCCAGCAGTTGGCTGTTTATCCTCATCAAGATGTTGTGTTCCATATTTCGCAATGAGTGTCTTCAGGTATCCAAGAATCTTTTTGACACAAATAAGTTAACGTAAGTTTCATAATTCTTGTTGACAATATCAAACTTCATGTATAATAAAAACAGGAATGTACCAAAATAACCGAGGTAACTTAATAAATGAGGTATGTGATACGTAATTATATAAGTCAGGCATTATTATAACAATTGTTCAATAAGCAAGTATTAGACTTCTAGAAACCAATATTTATCAGCTCTTTTTTCTTTATATGGGCAAATCAGTTTGCAGATCGTTTTCGATTGTAATCATTAATATGCTTAAGTTAAGGCAAAAAATTAATCTACCAAGGATTAACTTAGATGAAAAAATTATTGATTCTTTCCTATTTTATAAGTTAGTTCCTTATCGAAACGGTAGAAGTTAATGATATAATCAGAGGATTTTAATTTTTCAAAAACAGAACTGTTTTTTTTTCTTTTAAAATCTAAAGTAAATATATCTTTTCGTTTTATTATTTACAGTTCAATGGGATTGACCTAGTTAACACACCATCTTTATATTTTAAGTAAAAATTAATAATCTAGTGCTCATTAAAAGTATTTATTGACACAAATGATGAATTAGGAGATATAGAAATGGTCTCAAATAAAACAACAAATCCAGTTAGTTTTTTATGATCGACACAATATGATGTTATCTGATTCGTAATGTACAGTAAGCTCTATTCAAATGAATCGGATTAACAATAATCTCTTTGTCAAATTTATTGATCACAGTGAAGTATGGAAAATATCGACAAAATATAACTAGTTTACATTAATCTCTGGCCTTATATAGGTAAGAGTAGATAAGACTACTTGTGTATATAACACTCAAGTGCTTGTACTTTATTAGTTATTAAAAGATGGTTTTCAATTGACAATAATCTTTTCTCACACAAAGAATACAACGATCTCAGTAGATTGATTGTATTTTTAATTTCAATGATTCTTAAAAGGTCAAATAAATTCTTTTGTTGAATTAATTCGATTGCATATTTTCTTCTAATAACATCGTGGATAGATATATTATGAAAATAGCTAGTTTCTGTACTATTTATTGAAGGGGAAATTTGAACTGAAGGTAGGCCCCCAAGTGAAATCTGTACAATGAAGTCATACTAATAATGCATCATAAGAATCGTCTATAATACTGGTGAAGATGTTTTTCTAACACATCTCACTGTAGTAAAACACTTAAAACTCGAACAAAAACCTGAAGTTTGGGATAAGAAGGCAAAAATAAATCATGATGGTTTCTTAAGTTGCCACAGTTCAGAAAATTGATAGAAAGGCAAAATTAATGGGTTATTTGAAATAGTGAGCTTAGTTTTGAATACAACTCTTACTGCTGATTCTCCCAGACATAAAATATCACGATGTTATCATCCTAAAAGAAACACTTACGTGAGCATGGAGCCCTTTTAGGTATTTATTAAAACCAGCATGTAAAACCTCCATTAGCGAACAGTTAAGAAAAGTTAGCTTTTTAAAATCGATGACAAAATTGTGAGATCAGTGACAGTTGTGGCTAAGAACAAAATCTGAATAAGTGAGAATGACAAACGATTAGGTGAAAATCTATCATCACTATTGTGAAAACTATGAACACTACTAAAAATAATTAAGGAAAAGAAGAAACAAGTATTGTATGCAGACATTAATACACTAAGTTATGATCAATTTAATAAGGTCATTTTAACATCATACTTAATGGGCAACATATTATATTATAGTATTGTTATTTGTGGTCTAATTCACGATAATAAACATTGATATTCTATGAGTACCTTCGTACAAATGTTACGCTTGGAAATAAATCATTAGTTCAGATATTAATGTGATCTGTCATAGTAGTACTCATTAATCATTTAATATAAATGTAGAAAATGTGTTTTAATCGATAGAAGTACTTGTAAAATAAATAGAATTTATGATGAGTTAATGCATTAATCTGATTTTTGTCACAGTTGAATATCACGGCTATTGCCAAGTTGATGAACATTATTATTATTATTATTATTATTATTATTATTATTATTTTCAACCAAAAATAAAACAAATTAACGAAATATTTATACAAGTTGGTTTTTTTTACTGTTTCTGATACAGTAAAACAATGTTATAATGAATGAATATTATTTCAGAGTGACTGTTTTGGCCCTATTCATATGACTTATTCTTCTTATAATTATGAACATAATTTTGTAACGCTAAAAAATCTTTATATTCGGAATAGATTTACTTTATTGATTGGAAATCTTAAACCAAAGTTTAGGTATTTAACTTGTGGGGAGTAGAAAGAAATTGAAAAATGTCTGTCGGTCAAAAAAGAAAACAGACAACAATCTAAACTAAACTGGAGCAATGTAGAGATGCTTTAAGCTTTAATGAAGAAACACAAGTTGCAATGATACCAAAAAAATTAATAAATTATGCCAAGGGCTAACATGTTACTAAATTCATATTCTGAAAAATTTATAAATGCTGTGACCTATCAAAAATTAATGAACTTGCTATTCGTTTCAAGTTCTTCATAGTCTTTACATGGTGGTTCTCAACGATTATGGTTAAAGAAATAACAAATTACTGGATTGAGGCCACCTCAGTTTTAAATCAAATCTATTTAGATTAACATGTAAGGAAAGCAGGAAAAATGATAAACTCAGATATATCATTATGGATTAGATTTGTGATTGGTTATATATGTCTAGATTTATTCACATTTTCCATATTTGCTTCGATAAGCAAGAACATGTGTCTTATTTATCCGCAAAACATTAACTTGACCAGACTTGTTGCTATGTAGCAAATATTTACTTTGATTTATTCCATATTCCGGGTGTCAATTTAAAAATAGTTATTTTCTGAAGAAATCTAAGAAGTTAAATTATCGCTGGTATACTACAAAGAGACTATTAATTTAGTTCAATAAGTGCTATGTATCTTGAAATTTTTTCAAGTTATGTGAGACTTCTTATTACAGTGAACTAAATAGGCTGCAAGCTAAATAAAACTAAATCTACTC